CAGGCCCTGGTTAGAGAGGAGCCGGTTCCCCTAGGTGTGAGTACCTCTGGAGAGGAAGAAACACATCCGGGGGGACTTGGGGAATGAGGAGGTGACATGACAGCTCATGGCTGTGCCCGGGCTCTTCCTGATGAAGCAGCAGCAGGGACATGTCAGTAACGCTTGACTCTAGTCTGGCCTCCACAGTAAAACCTGTCTGTCCCCCCATCCCATTCTCCCCTCATGACTCTGGAATGATGCAGCACCCTTCTCTCTATTTTCCAGAACCGGATGCATGAGAGTATGAAACTGTTTGACAGCATTTGTAACAACAAGTGGTTTACAGACACGTCGATCATTCTCTTCTTGAACAAGAAAGACCTGTTTGAGGAAAAGATTAAGAAAAGTCCACTAACGATCTGCTATCCAGAGTACACAGGTGAGGTTCGGCTCTGGAGGTTGGGTTTGGTTTGTTGTCGGGGCCAGGAGTGAGTTAGTCAAAGCCTACCAATCCAAGATAATTTGCAAGTTTATCTTTTCCCAAATTCCCTCAACTCTGTCTCTTGGGCAGCATCTTTGGGCTGTCCAGTTAACTGATAGCTCATTTTCTTGAAAGAGATGTGGTCATGCACAGCTGTGGTTCAGAACTCCCTTTGTCCCTGTGTTTTATGGCCCGGAGTACAAATAGCAAAGTATTGCACTCCAGCAAATCAAAGCCACTCTGCATTTTCCACATTATTAGGACAACAGTTTAGTTTAACTTCAGTTGCAGAGGCTGTGAAACTCGTCCACATCCTGGCGTGTCTGTGTTGCAGCCCTCCCCGCCATGGCCCTGCACAGACGTGATGCTTCACCTAGTCACTGCTTGAGGCATTTTAAATTTAACTTTTTAAAAAATGGTCCTTCCTTCAAACCTGCTTATTCCTGTGATTTTGGAACTCTTCTCCACATTTCCAGCATGATTACCATAAAATGCACCCCTGGGCAGGGAGCAGTTGGCAAGTGACTTGTGCAAGGTCACTCATCAGAAGCTGGGAATAGACTCCAGATTTACAAGAAGGGGTTAATGGTGGATTTGGATTTGGAGCTGGATAAGGCAGATGGTTTAAGCAGCTTAATATGTGCTTAAATGATCTCTGCTGTGAACTGCTGCCCAAAGTAAGGGATCTTATCTTTTTCAGGCTCCAACACATACGAGGAAGCAGCTGCCTACATCCAGTGTCAGTTTGAAGATCTGAACCGGAGAAAAGACACCAAGGAGATCTACACGCACTTCACCTGCGCCACCGACACCAAGAACGTGCAGTTTGTGTTTGATGCTGTTACAGATGTTATCATTAAAAACAACCTGAAGGAATGTGGACTCTATTGAGAAGGAAGGGGCGTGGGAAGAAGGTAAAGCCGGGCTGCTCGCAGCGTTTAAGCCTTGCACGCCAGCTCGGGCTGGCTTTGCCTGTCGCCTCACTAATGCTCCTTCTTTTCTTTTCAGTTTTTTTTTTTATGATGTGGCGTTTTGAGAACCAGACTCTTTGCTGCCTCGTGGGGACAGCTGCAAGCATGAACAGGACCAGGGAAATGAAAACAGCATGCAGAATCGTTGCATTCTTTAGCACAATCTTCTGTATTAGGGACCTTTTTATTGATATGGGATGTTGAAGTTAGGTCAAGATGGAACAACTGTTAGTGTGACTAGATCATCCTGGCATCGTTTGGATGGTGTAATCTCAAATGTGTACAGCTGTTGTGAAGTTGAGGTGCTGGATTCCAGACCTTCGATATGTAGCTTTCTCTCTTTCTTTGGTTAACAAGCCACCACTAGTCTGTTTTTAAGGTTTTTTCCATCAAGAAAACTATAACTTTACTAAATTTTATTTCTTTATTTGCAAACAAATCTTGTTTTAAAAATAAAAAAACAAACAAAAAAATCACTTAACTATGCACATGTGACCAGATCATGCAGAAAGTATTCCTCTTAGCAGGAACTCTTTGTTTTTAACACTTGGTATGGTCAGGATTTAATATTTCTGCAACTACTTAAAGGATTCTTCGAGCTCTTACGGCGATAGCTTCGGCTTCTTCTGATGTTTAATTAGTCACCATCCTGCAGAAGTTTCTGCAGTGGGATGAGCGAGTCTTTTTAGCTTACGGTTAGGGGTGACCCTGCTTTGTGCTGATGGCCACACGGAGATTCCTTGTGTGTGCTGAGCATGAAGCTTCGGTCAGCGTGTGCCTGGGCTGCCTCCCTCGGAGAGATGAAACGCTGAGCTCCAAACTGGATGGGAAACACGTGCTGCTACAGAGCTACTCAGTCAACCACTCTCGATTCTTGTGCATTTTGGTCTAAACCGGTGGGTAATTTTGTAAAGGGTGCACCTTGTTCTGCATTTACCATGGCCTTTTCTGTTCAGAGACTCCTAAACTGTATTGACGAGCATGCCTTTACTTTGTATATGTGGTGCCAAATTCCTGTTTGCCATTGTTTTTACTGTAGTAACGTTCATAACCAGTCAGTACATTCCTTTGCTGAACCATTGCATCGAGACTCTTTTTCCCAGTTTGTCATGTGTACAGTTTCAATCTGTTATAGTTGTTGGCAGTATTAAAATGGTGAGTAAACAGTTTAGCCTTTTCTCTGGTTTTATTCTGAATTTTATCCAGGAGTGTTTTCCCCCCCCCCCCATTTTGTGCTTGGCTGGAGAAGGAAGATAAAGGCTTCCCTGGGAAATGGGTGTGATAATTGGGTGTAAATAAAGGTTCCTCATGCTTTTATCCCCCATGCCTGTTGGTGCTCTCTGCAGCCAGTTCTGCAGCTCCCGAAGCTGTGCTGGCACAGGGAGAGGACGACCAGCATCCTGGCCTGCATCAGCCTCACTGGCAGATGGTTCCTTTACTGCTTATTTATAGCCCAAGTCTCGCTGCCTCTGTTGAACCTGATGGGAAAATGATTGCTCTGGATGCCACTACGTCATGTCGATGTAATCCCTTTCGAAGAAATACAGAGTGAAATACTCGAGGGATGCTTGTGGGTGCTGTAAATGGCTACACACACACATACACCCCTCCCCGGTGTCTGCTGCCTGTCTGCTCTGCAGCTACGAGTGTATTTCTGTTCTGGAGCCTTTCCCGAGTTGCCTTGAGCTCTGACTGCCTGACAGTTCTCTTCTTGCCAGCCTTGAGGCTTTACTACAGCTTCTCGCTAATGCGTTTTAAGCAAGTTCATACAAAATCCCCCCAGAATTGGATTGCTACAGCATGGTGCTCCTTGACCAATGCTGGAGCTGCACTGTGGGCCTGGCCCTGCAGAATCCTTCAGGTTGGAAAAGCCCCTCGGGATCATCGAGTCCAACCCTCAGCCTGATTCTACAAAGTTCTCCCCTACCCCACATCCCCCACAGCTCATCCAAACGGCCCTTAAACCCCCCCAGGGATGGGGACTCCCCCCTCCCTGGGCAGCCTGTTCCACTCTCTGACCACTCTGACCCTCCCCTGTTGCAGTTTCCAGCCGTTCCCTCTTGTCCTGTCCCTGATCCCCTGGGAGCAGAGCCCAGCCCCAGCCTCTCTGCAATGTCCTGTCAGGAGCTGCAGAGAGGGATGAGGGCTCCCCTCAGCCTCCTCCTCCTCACACTGAACACTCCCAGCTCCTTCCCTGGCTCCTCACAGGATTTATTCTCCAGCCCTTCCCCAGCCTCGTTGCCCTCCTCTGCCCTCGCTCCAGCCCCTCCAGATCTCTCTCGGATTGAGGTGCCCAAACCTGGACACAACCCTCCAGGTGTGGCCTCACCAGTGCAGAGCACAGGGGGACTGTCACCTCCCTGCTCCTGCTGGCCACACTATTGCTGGTACAAGCCAGGATGCCGTTGGCTTTCTTGGCCACCCGGGCACACTGCCGGCTCATGTTCAGCTGCTTGTCAGTGAGAACCCCCAGATCCTTTTCTTCCAGACAGCTCCAGCCACACCTCCCCGAGCCTGGAGCCATGCAGGGGGGGTTGTGGCTGCAAATCCTGCCCGGCTGGGAGGGGGCTTTGCTCGGGAAGGTTTTGTGGTTCACAGTGGCCTCGGGCACTTCTGGCTGCCCGGCAGGATGGTGGTGGCCTCGCTCCTCTGGTTGATCTGGGTGGGAGATCCGAGTGCGGAATGAATGCAAAGAGTGTCAAACAATCCTCGATCCAAGCTCTAGGGCACAGGAACGGGGCTTAGGAACAGACATCACAGAGAAATCCAAGTGAGAGAAATGCTAGACAGTCGTGTCATGCGTTTATTTTATTTTGGTTTTCCTACAGTTTTCTTTATTTTGGTTTTCCTACAGTTAAACGAAGCTGCGTGTGTGATCTCTGCAGTAAACAGTGCGAGGATACAGCACTCATCTACAGATTTATTTACAAACAGTAAAGAGCAAATACTGCTCTAAAGAGCTGAATGAAAATCTTTCAAGTAACCATTTCCTCTTTCTCCAGCCCGTTTCTGTAGGCGGCCTTGCCTCCCCCAGACCCTGCTGCAGGTGCTCCTGCCTGCTCCTGCCTCTGCTTGCCCACCCTCGGCTCCCTCCTGGGCTGTGCTTTGGGGAGAAATTCAAATCTTAGGGCACAACCCCCCCTTATTTCTCCTGCCAGAGGACAGGTTTGCGTCCCAGGCATGACTCACAGCTCACCCAGCCTCCAGAAACTCCTGCTTCGATGAATTCCACTTTGATAAAAGGGAAGAAAGGGGCTGCAGAGGGGAGGAGTGCCCAGCCCTCTCCGCTGCCCTCCCCGATCACGCCGCCCTGCCCGCCTGCGCCAGGGTACGATGCTTTAATACTAATTTTTCTGGCAGGCGTACCAGGGACTGTGTGCTCTTTGGTGTCACACCACTCCAGATCTCATTTATAAACGCTGCCTTCCAGGCACTGCAGAGAGCAAGGTTTTCTTTCTTTCTTTTTTCTTTCTTTCTTTCTTTTTTTTTTTTTTTTTTTAAATTTTTTTTTTTTTTTTTTTTTTTTTTTTTTTTTTTTTTTTTTTTTTTTTTTTTTTTTAAAAAAAAAAAAAAAAAAAAAAGAGGAAATAGCCACGAAAGGGAGTTGGAAGTTCAGCTTCAGCCCCTTCTTATTTTGGGCTTGAAAGGAGGTGGTATGGTTGGGCGGGTCGTAGAAAAAGTGGGCTCTGAGTAACATTTATTTTTTAGTTAATCCATTCGGCTCTGCTCAGCAGAACGGCGCTGTGAAACTGAAGTCTCTTCTAGCAGGAAGGAAGAAAAGAAAAGGGGGTTAAAGGCTTTCAGACAACGCATTGACGGTTGTAAGCGCAGGAAGGGTGGGCTTAGAGAAGCAACTTTTCATTGCACCGAACTGGGTGATGGAAAAAAAAAAATTCATTGCCTTAAAATCCTCTGACCCAGGCACGGCAGCAAAAAGCCTGGAGCGTTACACTTGTATTCCCTCGCTGATCAACCCCTGCAGCTCTTGCTGCTGCCTGCAACCTCGGGAGCAGGCAGGGCCTCCTGTGCTGCCGTGGCACAGTATTTATATATTTTCCTTGATGCTAGAAGCGGGTTCACAGTCGAAGGCTGCCGAGTGCTCTGCTTAGAAAGCAGCTTTGTTCACAGCACAATGCAGAGCTGGCGGCCAAGGCTGCACCCCCCGTCCTGCCGCAGCCTGCCTCTGCCTGCGGGGAAGATGCCTGCCTGCTTTTGCTTTTGTTTTTTTTTTCTTGCTTCTCTATTAATGTTCAGGGACAAGGGAAACGCTGGAGGTTCCCTGAAGAACAAAGCGTCGAAGCTGGTGGTTGGGAGCTGCTCGGAAAGTGGGGAGAGGGGAAGGAGTTCCCACTGCTGCTCAGGCTAGCGGGCAAATGCAGGCGTCAGAATTAGGGTTATAAACCCTTATTAAACCTTCATGGGGACGAGCTAAAAGTCCAACTGCAGCAGAGCACGGCCTGGGATTCCCGTGCCTTCTCCCTGTTGCACTTGAATGTCGCTTGGGTTTTCCCCACGGGGCCAAGGCTGTGTCACAGCCTCCCCAACCGGGCTGCAAACCACCACGGCACCAGTGACCCTGTTGTGGCAACAGGAGGCCCCGAGATAAAATGATTTGATCTTGCTCAGGTGCATAATCTGGGCTATAATCTGCTGTTTTCATCTCTCTCTGCACGCAAGGGTGTGAAGCGCTCTGCCAACATGAGTTCAAAATAACAACTGGGCTGAGCCCACGCTGCTGTGGATAGGAACTGGACCCCCCCCCCGAGCCCTGCAGGGGGATGCTGCCCTCCCCCTGGGGCTGGTGGGTCCCCAAACCCCCTGGTCCTCGCTCATCCCCGCTCATCCTTTCCTCCCCTGGTCTGCAGGCCGGGATTTCCAGACTCTGTTTGATGGCAAAGCCTGGGGGGGTCCCATGTCCCATCACCCTGCAGAGCAGGATGGAGCAGGCTCTGCTGCACCTCCATCCCCCCTCCCCTTCCCCAGCCCTTCTTTTGTGGTTAAACAACTATTTCTCGGGTACCTGCCACCCAGATGCTCAGAAGAGGCCGCAGTCCTTGAGGTTCTCTTTGATGATGACATCCGTGACGGCATCGAAGACGAATTTGACATTCTGCGTGTCTGTGGCACAGGTCATGTGGCTGTAGATCTCCTTCACGTCCTTTCGCATGTTGAGATCAAGGAACTGGGTCTTGATGTAATTTCCTGCATCTTCAAATGTGTTGGGACCTGCAGAGGGAGGGAACGAAGCTGCTGCTGAGCTGCTGCCATGGGAGATGATCACTGGAGCTGGGGCAAGGTGCAGGGGATGCTTAAGGATTGTTTTTAAGAGCTAGATCTTGAAATTTCTCTCCAGAGGAGGAAGAGGAGGGGGAGAAGGGCTGGGTGGCAACAGCACCTAGCAAAGCACTTTAAAAAAAAAAAATCAATTTTTATCCCATTCCAATCCTTCTAAACACCTTCCCAAGGCCACATCTGTCCTCTCCTCTGCTCCCACCTCCAGGGACTCGACTGGACTCCAGCAGAACCTGAGATGCCGTGTCTGTGTCAGGACCACGCGGTTCCCCACTGGAACCCGTGGTCTGGGGGGTCTCGGGGAGGGAGAATGAACCGACTCACCATCGTAATCTGGGAAGCAAATGCTGAGGTGGACTTTCTTGATCTTTTGCTCAAAAAGGTCCTTCTTGTTGAGGAAGAGGATGATGGACGTGGCGGCAAAGAACTTGTGGTTGCATATACTGTTGAAGAGGTGCAGGGATTCGTGCATGCGGTTCTGCAAAGCAAACAAGCTCGTTGGCACCTTTTGGCCATTGCAGCCTCCCAAACCCCCCCAGTTCCTGGGATGAGAGCTTTTCCCCATGCTGCTGGGGATGCTCCCGTTTGTGGCAGCCGCAAATTGTCTGTGCTGCCTGTCCCCTGCCTGCACTGAGTGTCCCTCTTGCCCATCCCGTGGGGCACCCGGGTAAATCCAGGTGATGCTCAGGGTGGGGAGTGGTGTTAAGCAGCTCCGGGCGGTGCGATGGTCCGATCCCTCCTGGGAGCTTCTGGGATGCTCAGAAACGAAGGTTTAAGGTAAGAAAACTATCTGGAAAAACCTCGCAGCCCTGCTGGAAGGTGCTCAGTGATGGGGACAGCATCCAGGCCATGCTGCGGGATGCTCTTGCCGGATCACAGCTTCAGAAAGGAGCAGGAAAAAGGAAAAGTTCCAGTTTTAAAGCAGACTTGCAGTTTCTAGTTTGCTGCAGGGGCATGCTCGGGCAGAAGAAGCTCCACCCAGCTGGAGTGAAGCCTGACTGGGGGCTTTTGCAGTTTTGCTGATGGAAGGGGGGTCTCCTCCACCTTTGTATGGCAGCAGGTGGGTTCTGTAGGAGTGACAGGGACAGTTTTGCCTTCCAGCTTCCCATTGCAGCAGCTTTTCTGTACACAGCTTCAGCAAGCAGGGCTGAAGTGCCAAAAAAACTCAGAGCTTTGGCCAAATCCTGCCCTGTCCTGCGCGGGGGAAGCATTACAGCCTCTCCTGGGGGCTTCGATGGGAAAGATGCTCTCTCCTTCCCCCACATGTCTCACGCTGCAGCTTAGGGCTGAGGAAGGGCTGCGTGCTCCTGCCCAGCCTTGCCAAGGCCCAGGTGTGGTGGACCCTGACCCAGCTCCCAGCAAAGTTTTTTTGGACCCCAAAGCACCAGGGAGCATCCGTGGGGTCGGCTGCTGTCAGAGATACCAGTGAGGATGCTTTGCCACAGTCCCCCGGGCAGAGGAGAAGACAGCCTGCTTCTGCTTCTGCACTGCTCTTCTTCACCCCTTATTTCTTCCAAGAAATGACCCATTTTGGGGCTGTCATGTTGCTCCTCTCCGGATCTCCGCCCTCGAAGCTGCTTCCCCCTGGTGCCAGCGCATCCCTCACCGGGCACCCGGAGAACTTAATGCCTGTGTGCTGTCCTTCCCCCCGCTGCCACTTGCTGGGAGGGCAAAAGCTGCCCCTTCCTGCTGCCTTTCTGCCCACCTCGGAGGGCCCAGCGAGGCAAGAGGTGCCTCTGGGTGAGATTTGCCTTCACTGAGAGCGGGTGGTGCCTCTTCCTCCCCCTCCTGGGCCAGGTCCGGCTCCTTTGGGTTTGCTCGGGTGGTTTTGTGGCTCCTGGGAGGGGGTCGGTTGGAAGCTGCTTTGCCCTCAGCTGCTTGGAAAGACGCAGGGGAGGCGGGAGACCCACGACTTGTGTTTTGGCTTGGTTGGGCTGCTTGTGCCCCAGAGTAAGCGCTGACACGTTTACTGGGTGCAACTGGGTGGGAGCCAGCTCCATCCTGCCTC